TCCACCCGCTTACGCCGGTCGCACCGGGAAGACCTACTTGCTCGACCCGATTGAGGAGGACGAGGTGCTTAAACGTGCGTTCGGCCCCGCCTTCAATTGGAAGGAGGGGATGGACGTGCCCGTCCGGATGGTGGAAAACCGGCAAAAAAAAAAGGCCAAGGTGCCCCCCATCAAGGTGGAGGAGCCGACCGACTCCTTTTTAAATTTTTTTGACCCCCCAGAGATCCCGGAGGACGCCGAGGAAATGGAAAAGGTGAGAGGCCCCCGTGGGGCAAAAAAAAAAAAAATTGCGAAGCCCCCCCCCTTCCCCCCCCCCCCCCCCCCGCCCTCCCGACCCACGCCGCGTCCACCTCGTGGCGGTGCCGTCCGCAGGAGGAGGCGGAGCAGCTGCACGAGCAGCTCGAAAACGACTACGACATGGGGTGCGCCATCAAGGACAAGATCATCCCGCGCGCGGTAGCGTGGTTCACCGGCGCCGCCATCGACCCGGACGAGGACTACGACGACGACGAGGAGGAGGGCGAGGAGGACGACTTCGAGTCGGACGAGGAGGAGGACGAGTCGGACGAGGAGGACGAGGAGTCGGAGGACGACGATGACCACGTCGACACCTCAAAGATCAAGCGGGGGCAGGGCAGGGGCGCGCCGGCGGAGGGGCAGCAGGAGTGCAAGCAGCAGTGACACGCTCGGCGGCGACACCGCCCTCTGTGTTACTTGCGCGGTCGGGCTCTCTAGTCGGATCGTAGCTCGGGCGCGGCGCCTGCCTGTGGCCGCTCGCAGCCCCGCCTGCCCACCGCTTCGCCCGCCTCCTCAGCGCGCGCGGCGGCCCGGGCAATGTTGGGTGCGCGTGTTGTCACCGTGTTGGCGGTGTTGTGGAGATTGCGGGGTCGGCACTGCGGCTGCTGCGCGCGGCTGCGCCCTTTAGGCCCCCCCACCTTCTCTCGTAGGCGTACCGTGGTAACTGGTATCATTTTAGTCGCCAGGGGCACACAAACTTACAGACACGATCTCGCTCCTGGCCGCCTCTGCTGCTACCGTCCACTCTCGTCTCTCCGCCATCGCGGCATCGGTCATACTCATACAGACATAGTCTCATCACGTCGCGCAACTCGTTATATAGTTCCGTTTATCCGCGTTAATTTACAGTGCGTCCCTGCCCCGGCGTGGAATACTGCATCGCATGGCCCGTGCGCGCAGCACGCTGAGCGTTCCGATTTTCCCGCCTATCTGCAGCATGCTGCGCGCGAGACAGTGCGGCGAGCGGAGAGGTCCCAAATAGCATGCAAGCCGTTGCGCGTGAGCCCTTCAGCTCCCTGCCGCCACCTCCTCCACGGTCGTCTCCGCCTGCGGCGGCGCGTCGTCGTCCTCCGCCTCCACCTCCGCCGCCTCGCCCTCCTCCTCCGCGGCCGCCGCACGCGCCGCCTCCCGCTCCGCCTTCTTGGCGGCGCGCTCAGCCTTTGCCTCCGCCTCCGCCTCGGGGTCAATCTGCTCGAGAGGGGGAGAGAGGTGGGGGGCTGGGGTGCGGTGATGCGGACCGCTCGGCCAGGCGGGCGGGAGAGAGGAGGGGTAGGGCGGGGAGGGAGGAGGAGGCGCGCCTCAAACAGGCGCACGACGCGCAGCTTGATCGGCTTGGTCTTGTCCTTGGGGAGGAGGCTGCCGAAGGTGTCGAGGTGGGTGTCCTTGCCGTTGACCTCCGTGATCAAGTCGCCAATCTCGAGCCCCGCCGCCTCGCCCGCCCCGTTCTTGTGCACCGCGGTCACCTGGTTGCCCGCGACCGCGATCCCCAGGCTGCCGTCGATGCGCTCGAGCGTCAGCGTGACATTGCGCTTCTTCATCTTCTTCATCTCCGCCGCCGGCAGCTCGTCGTCCTCGTCCGCGCCGTCCTCGTCGCCCTCCTCATCCTCCTCCGGCGACGCGACGCGGCGCGTGAGACACACATGGACATGGTGTGAGGTGAGAGATATGCACGCAGGGCGGTGCTCGCCTCCCCGTCATCGCCCGGGACCGCATCGTCCTCGTCCTCGTCGTCGTCGTCATCGTCGTCGTCATCGTCGTCGTCATCCTCCTCGGCGTCCTTCTTCTTCTTGGAAGTCTTGGCCTTCTTTGCCTTCCGGCCGGTGGACTCGTCCACATACTCGTCTCCGTCCGACTCCTCGTCGTCGTCGTCCTCATCCTCGTGGTCGGGGTCGCCGCCGTCGTCCTCGCCCTCCCCCTCCTCCTCCTCCTCGACCTCCTCCTCCTCCTCCTCGACCTCCTCGTCGTCCTTGCGATCGCGCTTCTTCGTCTCCGCGGTGCGGGGCATTGCTGGCAGCGTTGTGTTGTGTTGAAGTCGAAGAAGAGAAACAAAAATATATCCACGTGCGCAGGTGTGCGCGGAAGTGCAGAAGGGCCCTCGGGAGGCCAATGCCTCCGAGGTCCGGCGGGCGACGAGGGGCCACCGCCGTCGGCACCGCCGTCGCCGCCCGAGCCCGCCGCCGCTCCCACGTGGACAACTGTGGAAGCGGCACGAGCAGAGGAGCGGGCAGCGTACCGGGACCTGTGTGCTGCGCGCGAGAACGGGAAGGCGAGGGTGGCCACGGTACGCAGGACACAGGCAGCTGCAGACGTGGCGCGGCAGACGTGGGAGGACGCATGCGATGCGTCGAATCAGCTGAAGCTGATATGGGAGCGGGCCCTCTTTACTTACTCCGGCCGGGGACGCCGTCGGGTACTACGAGCTACATCGCAAGCAGTCGGAGGCCGCATTTCACCGCTCACTGGAAGTCAATCGCCTGGGCGGCCGGTACGAGCAGTGTGTGCAGAGCCTCTCTGACGCGTGCGTATACATGCAACGGGCTGCACAACGCCACGCCGAGGCGCTCGATGCCCTGGACAGACTTGAGGCTGGCGGCAGCGCGGGTGCGGTGGTGGTGGAGCCTCCGGTGAGGTTCGTGCCGGCAGCAGATAGGGCAAAACAACGGGAGAAGGCGATCCGAGAGGCCGAGATGGATCAAGTGGCCGCGGCGGCAGGCGAGAGGGCGGTCCTGGCGGAACTCAGGGCGATCGGGCTGTCGCTCGCAGCCAGCGCTCCCACTCACCCACCCACTCACCCTACACCCACTTTTTCAAGAACGGATGTCAAGTCTCAAGGGGCACGTGTGGTGTGAGAAAAAACGCAACGTACGTAGGGCCGCGGTGAGCTAAAAGAAGCGCACGCCGGCGGCCAGACGCTCAGGATCGGGCTGCGGGCTAGAGAGCCCTGACCCTGGCGGTGCGCGTTCGCAGGGAGGGAGGCGGGGAGAAGTAAAGATGGCCGCTCGCGCATTTTTGTCGCAAGAAAACCATACCATACCCCGGAAAAAGTTGGAACCCAGTCGCTGCCGGCTGGAGAGAGAGAGAGAGGGAGAGATCTCTTCTCTTCCGATGGTGGCGGCGTGGCTAACGTGTCTTGCAGCTTCTGGCTCAGCTCTTCTCGCATCCCCGCTACTACGCGGTGCTGTCGTGCAGACACGCCACTCTCGCAGCGTGAAAATGCAGTCCGACCCGTTCGCGACACGGGACGCCGGCACAGGCTTTGACGACGAGGGCGGAATGGTCAGGGGCATTGCAGAGGGCGGCTTGACGCTCGAGCAGGTGACGGCGGCAGCGGGCCAGGCGGGACCGTCGCTTCCGGTGGAGAAGGCGGCCAAGCTCGTGCTCAAGGACCCCGAGTGGAACCTCGACAAGATGGAAATGTCAGCTACCGACAAGGACTTCGAGATTGCGTGCAACTCAATGGACGACGCTGAGATCGTTATAGATGTCCCCCCGATGATGAACACGTTCGAGGACTACTTCTTCGGCCTCACCGCCGACTCGCACTCATCCTTCTCAATCTCGACCGACGAGTCGTCGCCGCTCGAGGGCCGCATGCAACGCCGAGGCGGCGAGCCGACGGTCGTCAAGATCAAGTGCGAGCCAAACGGCGCCTCTGGCACGTTTGATGCTCACCTGTGCTTCATCCTCGAGAACGAGCCCGGCTTCTCAAAGTTCTACAAGATATCCTGCACCTCCAGCTGAGTCCTGAGAGAGGCTTTTTTGCTTTACGAGGGCGCCCGGCCCTCGGCGCTCCTCTCGCGCGGCACGCGCGTGCACCGACTGACTCTCACTCACCTGTCGCCAGTCACGGCGCGCTCTCATGGCCGCGCAGCTTTCTGCAGCTTTTTTTCGTATCTTACCTAGCCAGCCATACGCATACAGCACACATCGCACATGACGCGCGCTGGGCGCGGGGATGATGGGCCGATGAGTGTGCGCGCGCCATACGGCATCTAGGGGGCGGCGTCGGGCGACTCACACTACTCTCGAACAGGTAGGGTACAATGCATGACGCTGTACACACCTTCAGCGGCCGGCCTCCTTACCAGCGGCCGGCCGCACGTAGGCCGCACTCAGGCGGTGGCAGCTGCGCGCACGATCGCCGTGAAGTCGTCCAGGCCGAGCGCGCCCTGGCCGTTGCTGTCAAAAAGAGAGATCATGTGTTGCAGGTCCTCTTGCGAGAAGTCGAGGTTCAGGTCGGCAGTGACGCTCGCGAGCTTGTCAAGCTGCAGCAGGCCGCCCTCGCCCACCAGGAGCCTGAACAGCTGGCCCGCGTCGGCCGCTGGGTCGACGGAGGAGGCGCCTCCGGGAGCGGTGGCGCGCGAGGCGTCGTCTCCCTCGTCGTCGGACAAGGAGGCACTGCTTCCATCGTTGTAGTCGTCGTCGCCGCCGCGGCGGACGCCGCCGCTGGAGGAGCCCGCAGCGGTTGCCGCTCTCAGCGCCGCCGCCCCGCCACTGGAGGAGCCCGCCGCCGCGGCCGGCCTGCGCTTTGGCCGCGGCGCCGTACTGGGCGGCGCGAGACCGAGCCGCACGAGTTCCGCCTGGTTGCTGGCGATGTTGCGTAGCCGCTCCTCCTCGTAGGCTGACAGCGGTTGCGCCGGCGCCGCGGGCTCCTCCTCCTCTTCGCCGCTGGCCGACATCCCGTCTTCATCGCTCTCCTCCTCGTCGCTGCCGCGGGCGGCCGGGTCGAAGTATGGCTGCTGCATCCGCTCCTGTGCCGCCTGCGCCGCGCGGCGAGGCTGGCGGGACATGGTGCGGATTTCCCTTGATGGCTGTGACCCCGGAAAGAGAATTCGCGTCGGGTGACGGGCGCGCTCAAAGCAGCCCTCGCAAAGCTCTGTGTTTTGAGGATGCCGATCCATGGAAGCAGCTTCTGGAAGCTCATTGTGTGCGGCGCGAGACGCGCGCGGCTTCAGCTGCGCTCTGTTTTCGGTCAACTCCTTCCGCGCTTTCCCGGACGATTCGGAGGTATTTGAGGCGCCCCTCCCCATAAATAAAAACGGACCTCTACTGCAGGTCCCCGCCCGTGCGATCTTTGTGCAGGGTTCTTTGTAGGTGTGGTCGGCGACTAGCCGGGGGGTCGTCCTCCCGATGCTAGCATGCTAGGCTAGAGTGTTCCGCGCGGATTTTGTCGTTTTATCAGAGGGGGGGGGGGGCTTAATGCATCTCAACGACTCTGACGCTGATCGTACGTCGTCCCTTGGGGCTATTGCGTTGCGAAATCGAGTCGGAGGTCGAGCAAGTCGACGCGACCACTCGCGAGCAGGACGCGCCGACGCCCTCCGGCGCCAGCCGTCTCGACACGCCGCGCGGAGTCGTGACGTGCGTGCCGAGGGAGGAGTAGCGCGCGATGGAGGAGGTCCACCGTCGCTGGCCTCTCCAACCGTCCCCACTGCTGCCACTCGCACCGGCTTGGCCCCCTCCCCCGCTGTCGCCGATGCGGGCGCTGCTCGGCTCGTGAGCGCTCGAGTCTAGCAGGCTGCGCACCGCTGCATCGAACGGCTCTGTGTCGCCGTACGCCGCTTCGATCGCGCCCAGCAGCCGCTCGCGGTCTCGGGCGTGGTAGCAGAGAGCGCGCCGCGCGCAAAAGTTGCGCGCCACCTCGCTCGCCCCTCGGTGGGTGTGGCCAGGCGGCGGTGTGGCGAATCTCGACGCGCCCCGCGTCTTAGTCGGCGCCGTGGATGGTCTGCGTCGTGCAGGGGGCGGAGGAGAAGAGGACAAAGGAGGCGGAGGCGCTCCGGGCGCGAGGGACGCCGCCGGCACCTTGCGCCCTGGCGTCGGCGCCCCAAGTGGCAGCACCTCGATGTCGTTCTGCGAGCCGCCGAGGACGACAAAGCAAAATATCTCCATGATGCACCACAACCGCGTTGAGTACGTGGGCCCGTCCAGCACGAGCAAACGTGTGCACCCCGAGACATAGATTGGCAAGCCCAGCAGGGACGCGTCAATGTCGTCCTGATCGATGCACGCCTTATCCAGCCACAAGACGGGCTCTCTCCCCGCGTGCTGCTCGAACTCAGCCGCCCAGCGAGACAGCGCCATGAACTTGGCGTCGCCATCGTCGCTCCACGAGTGGCTGATGAACGCGTCGATACCGCCGAGCTCGACAGGCGCTGCTGCCGCGCTCAGCTCGGCGGAGCCGAGCGACGAGCTGAGGTGGTGAGCTTCGAGTGCAGACCACGGGAGGCCGCGAAACCGGCCAGCGGCCGCAAGCACGTTCGCCTCGACGCTTCCTCGGCCAGTCCGACGCAGCGCCGAGCACCATCGTCGTGCGCTCCAGCCGTTCAACGCGGGCGTCACCAGCGCAGCGATGGCGGCGAGCCCACGGGAGCTGGCGGGTTGGCCAAACCCTCCGACCGCGCGGAAGAGGCGCCCGCGGACAGAGGGGGTGAGGACACGTGCGAGCAGGTCGGCACCGACGACGCGGGTGAGGGCGCGGGCGTGGATGACAGCCATCGTGACGTAGGGGGACAGGTCGGGCGGGACGGCGCCGCGGTCGACCCACAAAATGGCAAAATCGAAACCGAGGTAGCCCAGCGTGATGCGCGACGACCACCGCAAGCAGGTGGCGAAGGTCGTCCACGCGACGTTGATCGCGCGGCGAGGCGGGAGGCTGAGTGCCGCCGCAAAGTGGTACGCCGCCCAGAGCGGAGGCCCGTAAGCGAGCGAGGCCCATGCGTACGCGAAGACCGCCCGCAGCTTCTGTGACGGCATTCCATGGTGGCGGCCCAGCTGGAAGAGGGGAATGAGGGCGAAGTGCTGCGATATTAGGAGGCCAAACACGGCGACGCCTACAGCGGAGTCCGCGTGCTGATCGGGTCGCATGCCCGCTCGTGGTGGCGATGGATGCGGCCAAGCGCCAAGCACGGCACACACGAGGAGGCAGCTGATTCGCACCTATCTTGAACAGCCTCGGGTGATCTTGCGGGCCATCTCGGCTCCAGGCCCGCAGGTGGGTCCGCACAAAGGCGGTGTCGATAGGCCGGAGGGCAAGCAACAGAAAGAAGGGCCCCCCGGCTCCGAGGAGGCATGCCAGCAGCCGGGGAGGCATCCACGCCACTCCCGCCGGGCCGACAAAGTTTGCAATCAGGGGCCGCTCCGTGGCCCACTGGCGGCAGGTGGACTGTGCTACGGTAAAGCGGACCTCGCAGTGCGTTAGCAAGCCACCGAGCCCACGACCGTAGTCATATTTGCCCAGCGGTCGGAGTTGGTGATAGACAACGAACTCGGTCGAAACGCCATCTCCGGGTGCGTACGCCTGGATATATGCATGTGCATTCTCACTCCCGCCGCTGGCTAGGTACAGCCAGTGTAGACCATAGTCGCCGTAGTAAGATATCCCATGTCCAACTGACGAAGACCAGTGCTTCCGTTGGAACGGTAACGGTGGCGGCGGTGGTGTCCGAAAGTCGGTCAATAGGGCGTAGGATGGCGGCGGTAGTGACGGCAGGGACGGCGGTGGGGTCGGTGGGTGTGGTAGGGGCGGTGAGGGCGGTGGCAGTGGTGGTGAGATTGGCGTCCGATAGTCGACCAGTGGGGCACGCTTTCGCCTCGGTTTGAAGATGAAGCAATCCTCGGGAAGGTACCCGACCAAGTCATTCGAGTCGCGAAGTGAGCAGAAGTTCATCGAATCGGCTGTACACACGATTGACAAGCATCTCGGGTCGGCAATGCATGCTGGCTTTACGGCTAATTGCGGCATTTCGTCGCCTAGGACCTTGCCGGGGCACGATTCGCCGCGATGTACCTCCCAGTCGCGGTCTGGCGGCGGGAACGGTGTTGGCGGCGGCGGTGGCGGCGGCGGCTGCGGCGACGGAGGTTGCCGTGGTGTATGAGGCGGCTCCGACGGCGGCGGCGGCTCCGACGGCGGAGCCGGAGGGTGTGGACTCCATAAACTGTTAAACAGAGACGTAGTCAAACCAGCCTTTCGAAGCGATTCTCCGAGCGCATGAGAGAAGCTCTGAATTCGCTTCTTTTGCTTAGGACTGTACCGGTCTTCAGGGTGGTTTATGTAGTCGACGAGCGTCCGTTTATAATCCCAATGTGTGGCATTGTACGTGGTGTGGTCGGTAGGCCGGCTCTCGAGGCTGGAGGAGCTCAGGCACAGGCATGCCCATGAAAGACTGAGGCTGATGGCGGTGGTGCGCAGCCGGACGGCGCGATCTACCGCCAGCGCTTCTCTCAGGCGGGACTGCAGCTCGTCGAGCTGAGTGCCTAAGCGCTCGTCTGCGTGGATCCGCCGCTGCCTCCACACGCAGGCCTGGGACAGGCAGATGGCAATGAGCGACGCGCCCAGCGGGGCCGCAGCGAGTGCCAGCGTGAACCGACCCATGAGGGAATCATTGCCTGAGGCGAGAGGGTTCGTGAACCACGACCATCTCATGCCGACCCCGCGGCTTGTCGGTCTTGCGGTTCCGGTTGGACTAGGGACTACTCGCTCTCGCTCGCCGTCGTCGAACTATTAGCAGGACTTTTTCCCCCCTCCCGACACAGCCGCCGGCGCCGCGCGCTTGCCTTGCTGCTTGCGACCTCGGAGGGCGCCACCGCCATGCCTAGGGACTCGGGGCTGTCACGTGATGCGCCGCCGTCCAAGGGGTTGTCGGCTTGGGCCGCTTGCCACGTCGCACGGTCGACCACGAGCACGGAGCCCTGCTGGCGCGTAGCGATGAGGTCCTCGCGAAGGCCGTCATTCCAGTCTGGCGTGCTCTCGGCGTACTGCCGAAGCTGTCGCGAGGCGGCGGCGCGCTCCGCGCCGTCGAGGTCGAGGAGCAGCAGCTCGACGCCGTTGGGGTGGCCGAGGAGCTGCATGAAGCAATTGTCGACAGTGGCGGCATCCATCGAGGCGACCCCACCGAAGTCCTCACTCTGGGGCAGCAGCCCGGGGATGCTCGACATGCGCGCTAGCAGGAACGCACGCCGCGCCGCCGTCGCTGCACGAGCAACGGCGAGCTCCGCCGACACGCCGCAGGCGACGCGACCGATGAGTAGGACGTTGGCCGCCGCGCCCTGGTCGGGCGCGACGTCGGATGAGTAGCATCGTTCGTCCGGCTCAAAGGCGTTCCCCGCCCAGGACGGGTTCCCCTCTGGCAGGCGAAACATCTCAACCTCCTTCTCCTTGACGGCAGGGACGGAAGAGACGGCACCACCACCTGGCTCCGAACCCGAGTCGAGGCCGCCGTCCGTCAGGAAGCCGACGACTTGGAGATCGACGATCTCCGACTGGGAGAGGGCCTTATACCGCACCGGGCGGGTGGCGTCGAGCCTGTCGATGATGACGGCGTGGTGGGCGGGACGTCAAAGTCCTGCTGCAGCCTCGTCTACCACAGTGCGGAACTGGACGTGATGATGATCTCCATCGCATGGCAGCAGGCGGCTAGAGAGCCCAGCGCCGAGGCGGGTCAGGCGCAGAGGATAACGCGCAGGGCATCCTCGGGCAGCTCGATCAGCTCGGGCGGCACCGCCATTACAGGGCAAAAAACGAGAAATCCTCTGCGGCGTCTCTTATCACCCTACTGTGAAGACAAAGCAAGAGCTATGGCAGGGTTAGACGAGTGTGCTGCGTAGGAGGATTACATTGCGAGCCCGTGCTCCGTGGTCCGTTGTCCCGCGTTGTGTTCTTGTGTGACGACAACTTGTGCGGCAAGTCGACTCCGCGACTTAAGCCGTGCTCGTGCTCCCCCAAAGAAATTCTTTTGCCCGATCCCAGCCAGGTTCCCGGTCGCGCTCCCGTCTATCCCCGGGCGCTGGGCGCTCCACCGCGCCAGCGTTTCGCCGCGATGATGGACACGAACAACTCGTCGGTGACGGCCTCGCTAGTTGTCGCGCCGACGGTACTGCTATCCCTCTTCCTGCTGCAGTGGACGCGGTGGAGACGACGCCGGCTCGACCCCGACCGGCTGAGCGAGCGTCTCCGCGAGACGTACATGAAGCCGCACTCGGGCCTCGAGCTGCGGATTGGGCTCGACATCGGCGGCTCGCTGGCGAAGCTAACGTTTCTGGAGAAGGATGGAGTGAAGACGCCCTTTCTGGACTTTATCGTGCGCACCAGCACCCGCCCGCGCCCAGCAGCCCACGCGCCCGCTCGGCGCGCCCGACCCTCCGCTGCCGCGGCGTAGAAAAACTCAAACACGTACGGGAACTCTGGGGTGCGCGACGAGGCGCTCGCCGTCTCGATGCCGGAGCTGGGCGGGCGGATGCACTTTGTGCGCTTCGAGACGGGCCACGTTCGCAACGCCGTAGAGCTGATGAAGGCGCGCGGCACAGAGGGCGGCACAGTGCGCCCACAGCAGAGGAGAGGCGGGCCTTGGGAGAGAGCGCGACTGCCGGGGAGAGCGCAGCGAGGCTTCGCTGCGGTGCTCGCAGCCGCTGGCGGTGCCTCACTATCAGACACGCCTGCCTCCCGGAGGCTGTCGTGCGGCGCTCGAGAAGCCTGCGCCGCCTCTCTCGATCTCGCTCGCCGCCTCTCGCTTACCCGCGCTCGCTGTGCGGCGCAGGCAAACAACCTGGAGGCTGGCTTCACCACGATGTACGCGACGGGCGGCGGCGCGCACAAGTTCAAGGGCGTCATCGAGGAGAGCCTCGGCTGCGAGCTGACGGCGTGCTCGGAGCTGGGCACTGTCGTCCTCGGCGAGAGACACCTCCGAGACACCTGAGACCGTCCCATTCCTCTCGGGCACCGTCGTCCTCGCAGTGCGAGAGGGAGAGGGAGAGGGAGAGGGAGAGGGAGAGGGAGAGGGAGAGGGAGAGGGAGAGGGCCCGCGGGGCCTGGCTTGGTCAACACCCGCCTCACCTCGCCTCACCTCGCGCCTCTCCATTCTGGCTGCGCAGGCATCTGCTGCATGACCTCGATGGTGGCGGACGAGTGCTACACCTTTGAGCGGGTGCCCGACCCTGCAGCAGTCAGGGACCCTCTCGTCGAGGCGTGCGCGCGTCGCCCCGCCGCCATCCGCCGCCCCCGTCTCCCCGCCTGCCCGCTCACAGCGCGTCCGCCGTCCGCCGGCCAGGCTGCCGTCACCCGCCGCTCGGTCCCGCTGCGGACGCACGACAAGGAGCCTCGCACCTCTTCGGAGCGGGCCGCCGCCCGCGGCGTGGTGCGGGTGCAGCGCGACCTCTCGGGCATCAACTTCTTCCCCTTCCTCCTCTGCAACGTCGGCACCGGCTGCTCCATCCTCAAGGCGCCCCATATCTCCCCATATCTCCCCATATCTCCCCATATCTCCCCACATCCTCCATCCTCAAGGCGCCGCCACGCGCGAGCCGCCGGCCCCACCCACACTCCCGACCTCCACCCCTCCACGCCCGCCCCGCCCTCGCGCAGGTCACGTCCGAGTCGCAGTTCGAGCGCGTCTCCGGCACTGCGCTCGGCGGCGGCACCTTTCTCGGCCTCTGCCGCCGCCTCACGAAGGCGGCCTCCTTCAAGGAGGCGCCAGTCCGCGGTTGAGGCGGGCCGACGCGCTGCTGCCGTCGCACGCCCCCGACGCTGTCCCGCGCCTGGCCCGCAGGCGATGGACATGGCGGAGGACGGCGACGCGCGGAAGGTCGACATGCTCGTGCGCGACATCTACGGCGAGGGCGAGGACTCCCGCCCCTAGATGCCGAACCTCACATCCATGCACTCGAGCACGCTCGAGAGGCTCGTGGCTCTCGAATGCCCCCGAGGCGCAAGAGTGCGGCGCACGACGCTGCTCAGCCTCACGCGCGCGTGTGCTCCTGCTCCAGGACCGCGCCGGGCTGCAGCTGCCGGGCGACCTCACCGCCTCCTTCTTCGCGCGCGCCCTGTCGGCGGAGCCGAAGGCGAGCGACGCCGACCTCTGCAAGGCTCTCGTCGTGATGATCTCGCAGAACCTGGCGCAGATCGCGCATCTCAACGCGCAGGTGCACGGGCTGCGGCGCGTCTTCTTCACCGGCGCGCGCAGAGGGGGCAGGGAGGGAGGGGCAGAGGGACGGCGGACGAGTCGAGAGGCGCAGGGATGGGGTCGGTGGAGCGGGCGGAGCGGGCGGTGGAGAGGGACGCGCCGCCTCACCTCCCCTCCTGCCGCTTCGCGACGCGCAGGCAACTTCCTGCGCGGCAACGATCTCGCCATGCGCACCATCGTCTACACGCTGCAGCGCATGCCGCGCGTCGTCGTGCACGGCGAGCTGGGCCGCAGAAAACGCGAGACCCGAGGCCCCTCCCTCCCCCCAGCCAGTTCCTCCCGCCCCCTGATTCGTGCCTGCGGCATGCCTCCAGGCGACTTGCTGCTGCCTGTCGGCGCCGAGCCGACCGAGGCGGTCTTCTTCCGGCACGAGGGCTACTTTGGCGCCATCGGCGCCTACCTGGAGCAGTGTCGCAACTGCGCTAGCGCCGCGGAGCAGGGCCGCTAGCGCCGGCGCCTGCCCGAGGCCAACGTGAGTCGTGACGTCTGTACCAGGCTACCAGCCGCGCGCGGAGATGCGCATGTGAGAGGCGGCTCAAGTCGAAACTGTGTGCGAGCGGTGTTTGTGGGAGGACTCGAGGAGCAGGTCCGAGCAAGAGGCCCAAGAGCAAGAGACGCGTGGTATGCGACGCGAGCGCGCCGCGGCGGCGTCTCGTGTCTCGAGATTTTGTCTGAAGGGAGTGGTGTGTCTCTGGCTCGGTGTACCGCACACAAAAGCATTTTCCTATTCTGCGAAAAGTTTACGTATATCGCATCCGATCCCCCCGGCGGGAGACCCCCGGGACACGCACGGGCAGGTCCGCGCACCGCGGCCGGCGCGGCCGGCCCGGCGGCCGCGCCGCCGCCGGGGCGTAGCACGCGCGCGTCCCACCCAAAAAACACACCGCATAAATAAATAAAAACGGGGACACCTCCCTACTGTCCTCTGTGAGATGGGTACGAAAAAGGAACAGATCTCCCCCCGCCCGTGCGCGATCTTTGTGTGCAGGGTTCTCTCTTTGTGGGGGTGTGCGGGTGTGGTCGGCGACACTAGCCGGGGTCGTCCTCCCGATGGGGGACTAGCACTAGCCGTCTTCCACATGGTCCCTCGGGTACCTGCTGCTCCTAATCTCTGTATCGTCGACATCGCATCCTCCTGCTGATCTCCGCAGGGGTCAGGACAGACAAACGAATAAATTTGAACCACCTGCGATATCAGACGACTACACGCACCGCGCACGCACGCACGCACATACACATGCACACACGGAGGGATAGAATGCTCCATGCACTAGAGACCACTACGCACAGATTGTATCGGAATGCAACGAGCAGCGACACGATGCGCACATGCACGTACACGGCACCACGGTCACTTCAGAACCTCCATCGAGACGTGGGTAAGCCCGGGCCCGCCAACCCGCGAGAGCCGTCACCGCAAGGCGGCCACGCCCATCACGTGGCCCTTCAGTATGCCTTCTCCTTCGAGCCGTGGCCCGACTTGCGCGCAACGCTGTCGCGCCAGGAGTCGCGCCACGCCTCGGCCTCGTTCACCTCCTCCCCCGCGGAACCGAGATACGGCCGTAGCCGTGCACTCAGTGCCGACTTGTAGTATGGCTGCGCGCAGCAGAAGTAAAGGAGCGACGCGACGTTGAGAAAGGGCATGTAGACGAAGCCCGTGGTGATGTAGCCCGAGAGGATGATGCACAGCGTGTAGTTGACCGGCTCGGTGAAGAGGTCGCCGCGCGCACCGTCGACCGAGGAGAAGGGGAGGACGTAGAAACCGAGCAGCCGCACGGCGGTGCCGACTTGCAGCAGGATCCACAAGTAGTGCACGAACCCGGGGTGAATAAACACGGTGCGGTACGCCTCGGCCATGCGGAGGAGGCCAAAGAGGGTGAAGCCGGGCACAGTGATATACTTGACGCCAAAGACCCGGGTGGTCATGAGGAAGCCCGTTGGGACGTTGATGAGCATCGCGAGCGCCACGCAGGCGTAGGCGAGGGAGGGCATGTCGGGTCGCAGGATGGCGAACATGCCGATGGTGAGCTCGAGGGAGCTGCCGAGACCGTGCAGGTGCGCAATGTGGTTTGTGCCGTGGGCGACGAACTTTTTGTGCGCACGCTTGACTGTCCGGCGCTCGACGTAGTATGTCATGAAGAGGAAGTACACCGTCCACACGTAGGTGAGCACGCACACGCTCGGCCGCATCGGCGAGGCGACAAAGTCGAACCGCTTGACGCCAACCACGAACATATCGTGTGCGTCCCAAAAGATAGAATCTTAAGATAGAACAAAAATTCTTCGTAAAAAGTGGATGCATAAACGGCCGGCGATTCCCATCGCCCCTGACGGGCGCCGCGGACCTGTTCCGCGAGCGCTCGTCAGCGGGTGGTGTGCGGTTCTTGCCGTAGTTCCTCTTCGGTCGCCTATAGCCCCGGCGCCGTCTGTCGTCTGTGTCACGAGTGCGAGAGCCGCTCGCGGTTCGTACGTACGCCCGCTTGCGGGTTCGAGTGTGGCGGGCCATCCCGCTTGCGGGATGGGATGGCTTAGCGGGTTCGAGCCGTCACACATTGGCTGCCGGGGTGTGCCGAGGGGGGGCTGGGTGGGCGGTAAGCCGTCATTGCCCGGCGCTGCTTGCAGCGCTCTGGGTGGTAGTGGCGGCGCTCCAAGAGTGGTGCTCTTGGGAAGAGGTTCCTCCTTTCCGCTCCCCCCCCCCCCCCCCGCAAGGCGCGAGACACACGACACACCTCACCCGCTGCTCCGCAAGCAAGCTGCGCCTCCTCTGCTGCTCGCCTCTCCGCCTCCCTCGCCGCTAGACTTAAACTGCTGCTGTAGTGTTTTGCGAAATCGAGATCGACCGGAGAAGCGTGGCGAGATCCATATAACGCGGCGACGAAACGGGACCGCACGTAATCGGAGATTTCGCCCATTGCCAACACAAGGCCCGAAAAGTGCGAAAAGCCGCCGGCCCGAATGTCTCTGGCATGATCGGAAGGAAGGGATTGGCTGTCCGTAATGCGCCAGAAAGCAGGAGAGAACCCGGCAGGCACACGAGGGAGCGCAGGTCCGTCTGAATGGGACCACGACTGGAGTACTAGTCTCCGCCGGAATTCCGGCGGGCACCCTCCCCGCGCCCCGGTCAGGACGAGAGAGAGAGAGAGAGTTTGTTTTTGTTTGCCTGACGGGTCCCCCCCAGGACGACGGCGCTAGGCATTCATTCCCCATATGGTTTCCGAATTAAAAAATCGTGCGCTGAAGAGAAGTGAGGTGATGTTAAGGCGAGTTCTCATCCTCTCCTTTCGGTATAATATAAAATTGGATAAGTGGGTCAAGGAGGGAGGGTGTCCTGGAGGAAAGCCGCTTCATTCGCAGGCAATCGAAAGGCCCTTGCAGGACTGTCTCGCATCGCACATCCATCGTGAGTGCCGCCACAGGTCCCAACGCGTGCCTCACCGCGAGTGTCTCCGTCAGGACAATGATCTTCTCAAAGCTGATGCTGATCGCCGTCGGCGCTGGCGTCGCGACGGCTCTTCCCGTGTCGCCTGAAGCGGTTGCAGTGTGCGGCGAGAAGCGCACCGCTCCTGAGGGCACGATACCACTTCCCGAGATCCCGGAGCTCGCCTGGGGGCTGCTTGAGGATTCCAACCCGGGCGCGCACCCAGAGGAGTACCAGAAAATCTGCACGGACAAGGACAAGTATCACCTCGTCAAGAATGCTGGTCGAGGCGGATTTTCCGACTTTGCGGTAGGCCAGTGCAACGACCCTAGCGGCTGCCCAGTCTATCGTGTCTTTGACAAGGCTCCAGACCACGGACGCCGGCTCGAAGCGTCTGCTTGCGGCCACTCTTGGTCGCCCCTCCAGGATCTTCAAGGCGTCAATGGGGCGGCCAAGACCCTCTCCAAGTACTTGAAGGATGTGGGTGTCTGCCCGTACCAGTATGCCGCTCACCCGTCCGATGACCCTCCCGAGCAAGCCTCCGGCGGCAACAAGGGCGGCTACTTGATGAAGTGCACGTTGCGCGCTTCGCACGACTTCGCGTTTGGCCAGACGCAATCGGCCGACTGCTTGAAGGAGGACGGCACGCCGTACACTTTGGAGGCTACGGCAGCGCTGCAGATCAGTCCTGTTGACTTTTCGGTCCTGTCCGACTGCAGCTGGTGTGAGATGATGGACTTCGATCGCGAGGCAGCGGATGCTCCGAATGTTCTCAAGTGCGTCGACGACGCGTGGACACCCATTGATTGCAGCAGCAACTGAGCAAGACTGCCGCCTCCACTCCGCTGGATCCGCCGCCCTGGCCCCTCGTGCTTGGGAGAGGAAGACATCAATAGCGCGGCGTGGCTTTGCGCGTGGATGCAGGTCGCAGGTGTTCATTACAGTTCCGTGTTCGAGTACGTGTCTACTGTCTAGCTTTTGTGTTTTCTTTACCCATTACCGTGTTGGAACGTAAAATTCGTCGTCTACCCCATGTATCGGAGTTATGGCACACTTAAGAGCTGTGAACGTGAAAAGAGTGGTACCAGCACTGTGGGTCGTTGCGGCACGCATGGGGGGCCTCCCGGACGTATGATCCTATATAGCCCAATACGTCCCACGGAGCACATTTCGATTTTTGACAGAATTAAATGCACTGCCCCCGCACGGTACTAATAGTCGTAGTTTTGGCACCGCTGCCCTTCACGGCACCACACCGCCGCTTGACCGCCCGGGATTAGCCTAGCAGCGAGTGGGCATCGCCTGCCGGTTCGGCTGGGCACGAGCCAAGCACTTGGGCGGCCGTCAACCGAGTCCGAGCGGCGCCTGAGGCGGGTGCCACGGCGTCTGCACGAAGGCGTGGCGGGGTGAGGAGCCAGGAGTGGTGAACACCTCCCCGTCGGGCGCGCGGCGCGCCGGATGGTCCGCCGAGGCCGCCGCCGCCCCGGCGGCGGCGATGGGGGCTGCGGGGCCGACCCCCGGCCGGCGTTTGTCGGCTCCACCTACAGAAGAGCAGTCTCTGTGGGTCGACGATACTAACTCGGTAGTAACGCGGAGCGGTGCTGTGCGGCGCCGAGTTGTGCGCGAGGCGACCCCCTGAGAGAGAGAGATTTTTAGCAATACCAAACAACTCTAACACTCACACGTCATTTGGGGCCTGGAGCCCTGTTCACGCGCGCGCGAGACGTGCAGACAGGGTTGCCAGGTGAGAGCGAATGGCGCGGTTCACGCCTCGCACAACAGAGAGAGAGATGCGCTCTGCATGGTGGGACATAAAAGAAAGCGAGTACTTGGGCGAGTAGGCCGTGCGGTTGCCCCCTGAGTGAGGCTACCTGAGCTGGCAATGGATGCCACCAGGACGCACGGCTAGCAGGAGCCAGTCAGGCATGCCCTGCTGTGGAGCAGAGCCGGCTGGCGCAACGGCGATACTAACTCAGCGCCGCCGCGAGAGGCGAATCTGGGCGACTTTGGAGGCGCAGTTCTCGAGCTTGCCGTCGACGATTGATGTCGGGTAAATTGTCACTGCCGTCGGGGAAGGTCTTCTCTCAGCAGGCCGAGCGCCGTGGCCTGGCTCGGCTCGCCGCGAACGCCACGAATTTATCAGTGCCAAAACTCACGAGACCTCGATACTAACAAAGACTGGGGGCGACACTGCCTCGGCAGCCCTCGGCAGCGCACCCTCAAGACTACGATACAAGCGGCGAGTGGGTCCGACAGCTTGCCCCATAATCTCGAGTGACCGACTTTCCGAAAGGCAGCATGCCTTGGCCGATCACGGCGAACGCCTCCACAGCCCTGCCATCGCTCCTCTCGAGTGTGCCGCAGCTCGAGCCCGCATTGCGCCTGCTCCGGCGCGAGGATCACGGCGCAAGCGGTACATTCATCAGCAACGGGCAGAGCACGACGGCTGAGCACGTCAGCGTCTGCACCATGTCTCGCACAGAGCGCTGCGACCTGTCGGGCATGGCTCCCGACTCACCCTGGCTGGTTCGTCCGGGTGGCAAGACGCGGTGCATCTTCACGACCACCACGCCCTACCAGTTTGAGGTGATTCGCGGCGACCGCGACAAGCTCCTCCTATTCTTCCAAGGCGGCGGCGCCTGCTGGGACGAGCCCTCGACCAGCTTTCCCGCGTGCAGCACCGGCGCCTTCCCGCAGGGGACACGGGGCGGCGTCTTTGACCGCGCCAACCCCGACAACCCTTTCCGCGCGTACACGATTGCGCACGTCCTATACTGCGACGGCAGCGTCTTTGGCGGCAACGTGACGCGCCAGTACCGCGACCCGTCGGGCTCTCCTGTGCGGCAGGCGGGCTACGAGAATGCGAGGAGCGTGCTCGACTGGGTGTACGGGCAGCAGGCGGCGGCGGGTACGCTCGCCTCGCCGCTCGCGTCGCTCGTCGTGTCGGGCTGCTCCGCCGGCTCGATTGGAGCGCAGATCTGGGCCGACCACGCGCTCAACCGGCTGCCGCACGTCGCTGCGGCGGTCGTCCCCGACTCGTACGCGGGCGTGCCCTCTCCTCGAGCGGGGGGGGGGGGGCACGGGAGTCGTCACCTTTTGACGCGCCTCGCCGTGAACAGGCGTCTTCCCATCGAGCGGCGAGGGCACGCTCATCGCGGAGCTCGGCTTTTGCTCGTCGCCGCTGCTCGCGCCGCTGCCGGCGCACCTTCGCGAGGCCTGCCTCGCGCGAACCCTCTCGCTGCACGCGGTGACCGCCGCCGTGACGGCGCGCTACGGCGCGGTCGCCTTTGCGCACGTCCAGTCCAAGACGGACGACGTGCAGCAGGCCTTCAACGTCGCGCTCTCCGCCGCGCGCAGCATCGAGCCGTCGGGCTGCTTCGACGCCGAGACGTGCTTCACGGGGCCGGACCGGCTCTACGCGGCGACCAACGACTACTTCGAGCTCTACAACGCGGCGCCGAACCACGTCCACTTTTTCGTGCAGTCGTCGGAGCACTGCTACCTGCCAAACGACCTGGTCTACACTGCCGACCCGTCCGGGGCCTCGGGCGGCGGAGGAGGGGGCGGGGGCGGAGGGCCGAGGCTCGTGGAGTGGCTTGGCAGGCTGCCGCTGCGGCCGGGCTCGAATGCGAGCATCGAGACGCGCTGCGAGGGCGCCGAGCGCGCGAGGGTGCGGTGGTGGGTGCCGGGGGCGCGCTACTGCGACGCGAGGCTGGCAAGCAAGACGTTTGTGGCGCCCGGGACGGTGGTGGCTGGTGGAGGGCGGAGGGACGGCTCGGGGGCGAGCGGTAGGCGGAGGGACGGCGGAGAGGGGGTGGGAGATGCGGCGACACGGTCTGACCGTTGACCAGGGGCGTGTACGTCTATTACTTTGTACGGCCCGCTTCGGGTTCGGCCCCAGCGAGCAGAGTCTTTTCCGCGTTTCGCCCGAGAGACGGAATCCCCGCTTCTCGTTTCTGGCCGCGAGCGGAATCAAGTATCAACCCAACGAGTAATCCCCGAGCAAATCTCCTGAACGGGGCCTCGAGCGGGGCGCGGGGCCGCCATGATCGGCCATATGGGGGGACATGGCCATAGGCGCCATGCGCCATGTGGCGCGCCATATGCGCACCCTCCTCGAGCATGCTTGTTGCTTGATGGCAAGATGGCATGCACCGCTCGAGCGCGCAGTGAGTGCGAGTGCGCCCATGGTCGGCATGGAGGATGGAGTGCCCGCACCGCCGGCGCGTATAGAGAGGGAAGAGGCTAGACCGTAGGCAGAGCCGTACACACTCCCTACTTGAGCACTTGAGCACTGGATAGGGTCTCGATTCCGCGTGGTACGGGACCCCTCGATCGTCTCACCCTCCCTCACTGGAGTGTTCATTTGGGGGGGGGGTCATAACAAACACGGTACAGGATCGAGGTGCACGCTGCCGAAGCAGTATCGTCCCCCCGCTCCCCTCGACCTCTCCCCGACGGCGATGGCGGTGTGACCGACCGAGCTACAAGAGGAACTTGTTCTGCAGGATCCGGGATAGTCAGACGCCGACTACCTCACTGCACACTGGGCCTGAGACCGCCCACGACGTTTCCCATCACCGTCTCGGGTTTGTGTGGGTTCGAACCACTCCGGAATGGGCAGGCCCATCGATTGAATCATTGTTTTCCCACCTCATCTGTTATTTTAAATTCCTGTTGTGCAAGAGGGGAGAGGGTTCGGACGGAGCGCGTGGCGGGAGAGAGAGGCGCGGGGGAGGGAGGGGAGGGCTCAGCCGTGCAAAAAGGATCAATTAATAATATTAATGTATTGCTCGGCCGTTCATGAAGTCCCTACTAATAAAGGGGAAGGCCGTGAGTTGACGGAAATCGAGGGACGCGACCCACTTCGCCACAGACGGTCCCGCGCCTCGCCGCTAAGACGCGCGGTGCGTGCCACTGTCTTTGTCCGGAGTGAAAAGTCCAACGCGCTCGTCGGTGACGGTGTCCCTCAACTGCGCCGCGCTCGGCGAACCTCGACAGCGCCTTCGGTGGCATGCATCTCTTTGCGCCTGAAGCCTGGAGTGTAGCTCCTCTGCTGCTCACACGCTCTGCACAGTTGACACAGCCTACCTACTGTGCGGCTGCCACAGCTGTGACAGCGGTGGGCTCGCCCTCACTGGCCCTCAGTCACTTGTGCTGCGGCTTGCTCGTTGATGTGTGAGCGACACTGCTCGGTGACTGCCGGCACACTGTGAGATCATGGGTGTGAGGTAAAACCCTGAGGGAGGGTGTAGAGGATGTAGAGTGTAGAGCGCTGTAGAGCTGTAGAGATGTAGAGCGCTCTGGAGCGCTGTAGAGCTGTAGAGCTCTACATCCGGCGCGTGACGATGCGCCTCCGTTGTAGAGCGATGTAGAGGCGCTCTACAACGTGAAATCTCTACAACAAACTCTACATCATAAGCGGCGAACGAGGCGGCACGGTCGCTCTCCGACATGAGGCGCGTTGCAGTTGCCAGTGCTGCCCTGGCCTTCTGTCTGCCCGCCCAATGGGTAGGAGGTGCCTCTGCTGCTATGGCATGCCTCACGGCTGCGACTGGCCGGCGCCTCGGCGCGTCAGCTCGGCTCGGCGTAGCGATCGTGGCCAGCGCAACTCGCCTGGACTCAACGCTCAGCCAGGAGCTCCCGCACGCGCTGGCGCGAGTCATGGCGCATGCAACGCGCAGCAATGCTCGCCTCGCCTCGCGCAAATGCGACCGTCCTCGCAGCCGACAGTCCACCGCCTGCTAAAGAAGCACAGCGACGAATGCGGCACCGGCGACGCATGGCAGGCTGGTCATGACGCAGTTATAGGGTGTTGTGTGCCGTCGGAGTGACTCTCTGTGTGTCAGGGATAGTCAGGGCTGTCCATCAGAGCTCCAGTAAGCTCGGAGACACCCCATTAGCGCGGCTCGACCTCTTTGAGTCACTGCCTTCCCGGCGGTTTGGCTGTAGAGCCTCTACAACACACTCTACAACAAAATCGCGCTCTACATCGCTCTACAACGGAGGCGCATCGTCACGCGCCGGATGTAGAGCTCTACAGCTCTACAGCGCTCCAGAGCGCTCTACATCTCTACAGCTCTACAGCGCTCTACACTCTACATCCTCTACACCCTCCCTCAGGTAAAACCACGCTCTACTCTGTTGATGACAAGACTTGTCTACTCGCTGGAGCCGAGCAGGAGGGCCCGGCGCACAACCAGGTGGTCAACTCAGGGTCCCCTTCCCCCGCTTTACTAAAGCCCGCGTATACCGGACCGGTTGCGCAGCCCGCACGCTAGCGGAGGCAAAGAAAGGCATCGTGCGGTCGATGCGCGGAGCCGTCGCGGCCCGCGGTGCATGCATGCGGCATATCACGCGACCTGTTGCACGCACTTGGAACCGCACGAGAGCACGACCGGCACCGCCCACAGCCAGTCCGAGGACAGCAGGCGCAAGCTCCCCGTCCAACGTCCAAGCTCCACAGATCCACCGCCCAACAACACACAAGAGATGACACATCGCGCACCCTCACCCACCGTCGGACAAGCACACGCAGTCTCATACAATAGGCACTCCGCCGCGAGCTTCTCTCGTCACAGGCCCCTCCGGCGTCGCTGTCGGCGGGCGCAACAAACGTCTCGCCAGAGACTGGGCAGGTTAGCTGCACGCCGCGCGAGATGGGTTGGGCCTGGCCCCACCGACCGCAGAGGCGTTTAGGTATGCGGGTTATTCTCCGGCTTTTCGACGCAGTCCTCGCGCCGATCGCGAGGGTCTGACCGCCTCTGAAGAGTACGTGCGGCTTGGAGGAGTAGATCTGCGCGCCGGCTTGATTGTTTGTTAGATCGGGAAGGGGAGAAGGAAGATCCGTGACACAGTTGTATGTGCATGTACATGTTGCATGTGCATGCACATGTGCATGTCCATGCCTGAACCAAAATGGAAAACGACAATATCGCTGGGGAAAAAAACAAAACCGTTGACGACGAGGTTCGAACTCGCGCGGGCATAGCCCAAGGGATTAGCAGTCCCTCGCCTTAACCACTCGGCCACGTCAACTCGAACCGGCAGCCACTCGCTGCGGAGACGGCATCGCCCCACTCTGCAGTATGAGCTCAGACATTGGCAGAGGCGACCTGCAAAGGCAACTCATATAGCTAAAAAGTGAAAATGGGGGGGGTTGGGTGGGGGTGGTGTGAGGGGGGGGGTGGATTTGGTGGAGGTGGTGGTAGTGAGGGGAGTGGTGGTGAGGGTGGGGGTGGAGATGGTGGTGGTAGAGTTAGTACCGTAGTATATTGTGAGGGTGGAGGTGGTGGTATGTATGGTGTAGTGTTAGTAGTAGTGATAGTAGTAGTAGTATATTGTGTGTAGTATGTAGTGTTTGGAAGGTGGTTATGTGTGTAGTGTGTATTGTTTGGAGGGTGGTATGATATTGAAGATGGGTGGGTTGTATTTGTTTGGATGGGTTGTATTGGTGGATAGTTTCGCTCTGTTTATGTGTCGAATGCCTCGCATACCTGGTCGCGCAGCGCCTCGTCGGTGCCTCTCTTCCCCATGGGGGGAATGGGTTGCCGAGCCCGGTGCCTCTCATGATGTTGACTGGCAAGGGGCGCGGGACTGTGTCCGCTCCCGTGTCGCGCGTCTCCGCTCGTCGGCTTCCAGCGACGACCACCCTGATCGAAGGCTCGGCATCCCTCTGTCCGCCGCTGTGTACGGTCTGGGTGAACTCTGGGTGAAGTCTGAAAAAAAGTCAGTTTGCGGCTCACCTGATAGCCAGGTGGATGACCTATGAATGGGTGCCAAACTGATTTCTTTTTTCACATTCACACCTCACGTGGAGGTGTGAAAAAAGAAAAGTCAGTTTGCAAGTCAGTTTGCGACCCACCGGTTGACCAGGTGACCGGTCTCACCAGAGGGTGAGGGGAATCACAAACTGACGATCGTCAGTTTGTACCCTGTCACAATACTATCGAGAGAGCTGATGATGAGTCATTTCCGGGAACTTCCGGTGGCCGGCCGTCCACCCGCCCGCCCTTGCGCGCCACCCAGCCCGCCCCTGCGCGCCACCCAGCCCGCCCCTCGCCCCCGCCGCCTCTCACCCGCCCCTTGCCCCCGCCGCCTCTCGCCCGTCCCTTGCCCCCGCCCGCATCCGCGCCCGTGCACACCGGTAGGCATCTCGCAAAGCGCTTCCGTCACCGTCGCCGCTGAATCAACCTAATCCAAAAGACTTTGACTGCGGCGATGCATACAACGCTGCCTATGACAAATGGAAACAGACAGTGTACAAGAGCTTCTATGAGGAGTGTACTCGCGTTCGACCCGCGCAGTGCGCCCAGTTGAGGAATGTGATCGCCGGACGCACCCCATCCAAAGTCGTTCTCCTCAGCGGTCCGACAGCAAGCTGGAAGTCTACCCTTGTTCAGGCAGTCGAAAAACGCCTTGGAAACTGAGACACCGGGTGCATACGTGATTGGACGTAACCTCTTTGTCTTTGACGGTGGATCCAGCTATTGCGAGAACAGCAAGGACAAAATCGTGGAGGCTCTGATGCTGTATGGGTTGCCTACGCCACTTGGCTACGCTCAAGCCATTGTGCGCATTGACTTTGACACTCTCTCATTCAATGCTCTGGATGCCACTCTGGAATTTGCGAAGCAGTACTCGAACCAATGCTGCAACACGATCATCTACGAGACGACGCTCAGCACGCCACAGTCACTACGTCTGAAACAGACGCTCGAGTCCCATGATTGTGTACACATACGAATGCCGTCGCTACAGCTACCTCCACACCTCCAGGCGGAGACGCAGGACAAGTTTGCGGACATAGAAGCCTCGCTCACATCTGGCCTCCGTCCGCGCAGTGGTTCACATTGGGCTAAACCCCACCTGGCTTCCTCCCGCTAAATACAAAGGGCGCGACAAGTTCTCTCTTGCACCTCGAAGCGCAGAAAGGCTGCCAACCTCCTCTCCCATCTGGCGCTTGCGTCGGGCAGCGTGGGCGCGGCATCCGGGACGGATGCGGGCCCTTCTCTCGCGGGATCGCTGGGAGCCGCTCGGCTCCCCACGCGCCGCCGAGCTGCGATGGCGCCACCGCAACGGCTGCCCCTCCTCGGCTCCCGCCCCGGGGCTGCCGAGATAGGTGCCCCGAGCCACCGTTTGCAACATCCGCGCGGAACGGCGGTGCTGCCGACGCCCCCCCGACCGGCAAATACCATTGGAAGGGCGGTGGTGAAAGGAAGAGGCGCAAACTGTCGTCGTCGTCGCGCAGTTCCCTTAAGTTACGTTCGGCGCCCGGCGCGGCTGGCGTCAGACAATCCGGATTTTCGTCTCTCGACGCGAAGATATGGTCCCGAGTCTCACTACTCGCCCCTCCATCCTGTAGGTCCGGACCTTGCCTGCTCAGTAGCCGCGATGAATCGTCGCCCTCATCGTCCGCGGTCATCCTTTCAGCCTCAAACGGGCCAAACGACTGTCTCGCCATCACCCATCTCGCCTCTCGCGGTCGCGTCACACCTTCCCTCGTGCCGCGAGTAGGCGCGTGAGTGATGGCCCTGCCGCCAGGTACACGGCTACACCTCGGGACGCCGTGCTGAGACGGGTAGAGCCGCCCCGCGGGAGCAAAAGCCGCCTCGCGCGCCTCAGCCCGCCGGGCCCCTCGGCGGCCAGTGTGGGGTGGATACGGCGGTGATAAACCCCTCTGACAGCAGCGCCTCACGGCGTGGGCTGCGAGGTCACTCGGGGTGACCCAGGGGGCGGCGGGGGAGCAATCTCCCGCCGGAGCAGCGGGTGATATTCCCGCTACTCGCTCGAGTTTGAGGTGCGCCGCGCCTCGCCTGTGTTGCCTTCCCGGCCGCCCCAGCCGCCCTCACCGTTCCTCATCCCCTCCCCCACCCCCTCCCCCTTAGGATAGACCCTCGCCACCGCCGCTGCCGCTGTCTCCGCCACAGCCGCCGCCGTTTCCCTCGGCGCCTCCGCTGGTGGGGTCTGCGCCTCCTGTTGTCCCCTCGCGGGCGTCGTCCTGCCTTGTGTCTGGCTGTTTGGCCGCCTCGGCGCGTGCTCTTTCCCCCCGTCGGATCCTTCTCGTGCGGTTCCCCTTCCCGTTTTCTCGGGGTCCTGCTTGTCCCCTGT